ATTTTACTCAGTGGACCAAGATAAAAAGTCTCAAACTGCTAGTGAAGCTAAACATAGAAAAACACAGAAACACTGTCAGCAAGCAAAACAACTGCAGCAACTTAGTTCTTAAGACAACTGAAGATTCTACTGAAATTGAAACATGAACTTGACACTTTTTTCCCCATGCCTTCTACTGTTTCTACTGAATCACTGAATCCTAAAAATGGGATTTCCATTCACTGTAACTATGTGAAGCTAGAAGAGTTAATGTGTGATTTTGAAAACAATACAGTCCAATTTGTTTCAGGAATACCTGGTCCTGCACAGTAATCAAAAGTATTTCAAGAAAAGTTGAAGAGTCACCCTTTCTTCATAACTTTATTTAGTTTGATCCATAGAAGCCCTTCAGTAAAACTCAAATACCACTAGAACATAAGCATTACTAATGCCATGATATGTAGCACTAACAAAAAGTCCCACAAGAAAAAGGCAACATGAGCAAATGCACTTTGCTTCATGACAGTGACTAATATTGAAGGATATAGCCCTTTATTTCATGCAGCTCTTATACAGTGCTAGTACCTCATTTGCAAAGGCCAAAGGAGATTAGGTTGTGTTTTAAATTTGTGCTAGAAAGCTGGTAATTTACTCCTCAGTGCAGAAACTTGCACAAACTAGCTCTACAACAGATTGTCAGAAGGGCAGCTGCCACTCAAAAGGTACAGGAAGTTCCATATATTAAAAGACATGCCAGATTAAGAGAAAGGTCCTCCCAAGAAGTAGAACTTTGCTGACTTGTCATTTGGATTTCTAAAGAAACAAGAATTACAACACTAAAAACAAAGGATGAACGCAATATTCACAACCGTTGTTGTGCAGAGATAACACCCAAACCAGTAACTATCTGCACTGGGTTTGTAAACATGCAGAACCAATACATACCTCCAGATAGTTGGCTCAGGCATTCCAGGATCTGCACCCCTTTTAAAACCTGAAGTGAAACATACATTACATACATATATATAAAAATATGTATGTGCAAACTCCTACTTAAATCACTATATAATTATTCCAGTTCATTAAATTGCAATAAGAAAAAACTACTGAACGGAGAACTATGATTCGTGAAGCTGTGCACTAACATGAATAAAAACCGTACATTCTTATCAGGGTTAGGAAGCAGAGAAAATAAATACAAGTGTACTTTTTTTTTTTAAGTCTTACCTGCATCTTCACCTGACTTAAAATTCAGGGTCAACTACCTGTGAGATCAAGGAAGTTATCTACCCTGAAGAGCAAGACACAGCTTTAAACACACAAACACACAGATTTTAGATGATCTTCAGAAAGCAGCCTAGCAAGGCTCTACCAACAGAAACGCCTATACCTGGTATAAGCGAGCACCTTGAGGCCTAACAGGTAACATTCTGCAATGACATCTGATGCAGAACTTAAAAGCAGTTTTTCAGTAACTTAGGATGACACAATTCTAAATGTTAAATCAATGAAACCTCCAATCTTCTATTTTGACTGGCGTTTTTTTGAAAAGCTACATAGTACTAAAGCTTGCAAACAAACAAGATGTTTGTCAATCTACTAACACCCAGGAAAATGAAAGTTAATTAAAACAAAAAAAGAGTTCACCCCAGCTAATGACTCAAAAACCAACTGACTAAAGTAAACGAATGCTGGAGAAGCAACTAAGGGTTAATATATGAAGCATCTTTGCTCCCTGGACTGTAAATTAAAAATCTTGAAGGAGAATCACACAATTCAGGCACTGTTCAACACACTCCCTCCTACATGGGCTATCTAGAAGTGGATAATTTATGAAAAGTATATTATTTCCCTTATTTACAGAAAATAAATATTTTATGTCACCTTGCCTGAAACACAGGCCACAAAGGTTAATGCAAAAACTTCCATTAACTTCACAGGCATAGGGAAAGCTCTCTGAAGATAACCTTGCATGATTTGAGACTATCAAACACCCTGATACAAGTTGTTTGGTTGCCATACTGTCCAGCAACACAGCTTTAAAATTCATAAAGTTGTATTACGAGTCACACTCTCTGTGTGTGTGAATGTTTCTGGCTCCTTTCCCCCCACTCCCATTATTTTTAAGTAAGCAAACCAGGTTTAACAAAACTACACTCATCTAATTTATCAACTTAAAACCAGGGCAGCCACTTCAAAGCAAGTTTAAAAAAATACAACAAAAAAACCCCCAATGACCTATAATTGCACATTCATGTACCAGGCTCCCTTGTACAGCCCCGGAGCATCCCATCCTGAGCTAGAAAGCCTTTCAGAGGAAATTAAAAGCTCAAATTTGCTGAACATTGCCTTGCCTATGTTTAGTTTAGCATGTATCTCTTCTACACAGGGATCGATAAAAAAACTGCCCATCAATCAGCGACACCAACTACTGTGTAGCCTCTTGCCCTTCCAGTGCATCACACCTTCCCTCCAAGATTCAAAGGTAATCCCAGTATAGAAGAGGTTCTCTCAATTCTATAGGCTTCAAATGCATGGCACCTCCAAATGTCTATGGCAAGCAAAGGTGGCACCTACACACCCCCTTCCCATCTGCTTATACTTAATGTCCTTTCATTACTGCAGACAAATTTATAAGAAGGCAATGCAGAAATGGAACAGCACACTTATTTTCTGGAGGTATGAACCTGAACTACTACAACTTGAGTTTCTCACTGCTATGTAGCAAAATTGAACTAGGCAGCCTGACGTTAGTGCAACTGTAAATACAGGAAGATGGCTTTATATAACTTGAAGTTTATACAATAAGTATTAAGTATTTAATGTCCTCTGATGTCACTCAGAACAAAGACCATCTTTCCCATATCCATAGATACTGTCTTGAAAGTAAAATCAAAACAAAACTTCAGCAACAGCAAAATTAGGTCACAAAACACTGTTGAAATTCCCACCCAATACTTATCAATTTAAATAAATTATAAACTAAAAATGAAAATGCAATTAAAGTTTAAACCTAATAATGCCAATTAGTTTTTTTCCATAGTTTTTGAAGTGACTTCTTTTTCTTGTAGTTTTTGTTAAAGCACTTCTGCAACAGTTGAAGAGACCAACTTTTCCCTGATTGTTATCTACGAACAATTAAAGCCTTTCAAACTGGACACTGCATTCCCCTCAATTAATCAAAACAACCTATCAGATTTGACTGTAAACACATTAAGCTCCCAGCCCTCCTTCATGTTTGTCTTCCACCCAGAGATGCCTGCCTGGTTTAGCTACTTTTCCCAAAAGGCCCAACTGAGTTTGGGCAGAAATTAAGCCAGATGAATTGCAGGGATCAGCCCTTCTGGGGCCCCTTGTCATAAATGAAGCGAACAAAAGTGTCAGGCCTATGGCACATTGCCTATCTTAAGTGGGTCAAGCTCTTTAATAAGGACAGCTGATGGCACACAGCCCTAACTCAGCAGGAGAACTACCATGTGGTAGTGACACCTGCCCAGTCCCATGACAGGAGCAAGTGAAATACATCCTGGGCACCAGGCACGACATCAAGGCATCCCCTGAATGTTCCACTGCAATTTGGAAACAGGAGTCCCATTTTGGGTGGGAGAGAGATCGTAACCTGTACATTATGCTGGAAATTCAAGCTTAGCCAGAGGCTGGCAACCCCCTCAGTGCCACGAGTCAGCGCTCCCATCACTTGGCAACTCTTTCCTCCCTGTACACGGAACACAGCCTCGCCTACTGAAGCAGCTGGTCACTGACACAGGTTAAATCACAGCTCCGTCTGCTGTTTGTCTGCTTGGGTGTATGCTCTGCCTGCTCCCCTGAGGGGCCCTCCCATCACTGGGCACACACGGATCAGAAACAGCCTCCAGGGAGGAAAAGGAGCAGAAAACTCTTTATTACAGAATCATAGACCTGTTAGGGTTGGAAGGGATCTCTGGAGATCATTTAGTTCAACCTCCCTGCCAAGGTAGGGTCACCTAGCGCACATTACACAGGAGCGTGTTCAGGTGGGTTTTGAATGTCTCCAGAGAGGGAGACTCCATGACCTCCCTGTGCAGCCTGTTCCAGTGCTCTGTCACCCTCAACGTACGAAAGTTCCTCCCTCGTGATGAGGTGAAATTTCTCGCATTTTAGTTTATGGCCATTGCTCCTTGTCCTGTCGCTGAGTATCACTGGAAAGAGTTTGGCACCTCTTGGCACCTGCCTTTGAGATATTTATATGCATTAATGAGATCCCCTGTCAGTCTTCTCTTGTCTAGACTAAACAGGCCCAGCTCCTGCAGTCTCTCCTCGTAAGAGAAACCAGACCCCTCATCATTTTCGTGGCCCTCAGCTGCACTCTCTCCAGTAGGTCCTTGTCTTTCCTGTCCTAAGGAGCCCAGAACTCCGGATGTGGCCTCACTGGGGCCGAGTAGAGGGGGAGGATCACCTCCCTGGACCCGCTGGCCAAACTCTTCTTCTTTATAAGGAAAGGAAAAAAAGAAACCCACAACAAAACCACCACCCAACGTAAGCATTACTAATGCCATGATATGTAGCCTCACTGCCTCGCAGCTCTGCCAAGGGCAACCCCGGCCCTGCCCCTCCGCACATGCGCGGCCATGGCCGCGGGGCCCGGGCGGCGGGGCGGTCCTGCCCCGCCGGGCCCTTCCTCGCCCCCGCTGCTCCTCGGCGGGCGGCAGCGCCCGGACGGGCCGGGGGGCGGAGAGCGACGAGCGGAGCTACCCAGGCGCCACCGCCCTGGCCCCGGCCCCCACCCCGGTCATGGCCGCCAAGCGCCCCCCGCGCGGCCCCCGCCCGCCCGGCACTGACCGAGGTAGAGCACTACGGGGATGAAGCCCCAGCGGATGGCGAACTGGCCGCCCTTGAAAAGCTGCTGTAACCGCTGCTTGGCCTCCTTGCTAAGCTTCGGCATCCCGGCGGCGGGGCAGAGAGGAGGGGGAGGAAGAGGAGGAGTTCAGCCGATATCGTAACGGCGCCGTGCGCTGGGCGGGACCCATGGCGGGGCTGCGGGGCGGGGACCAGGCACGGCGCTGCCCGAGGAAGGGCAAGGAAATGGCGGCCGGGGGCTGCCTGCGCCCGCCGGGTGGTCCTGCCCGCGTGTCATCGCCACAGGCAGAGGGATCGGGGTTGGGGGTGGCCCACCAGGGTCGGGCGGCTGGGAGAGGGGTCTACAAACGCTGTGGGTCTTCTTTGTCTGCCTTAGGTCCTGCAGGAGTCATGTTTGTGTTACTTCCCCGCAGCTCTCGAGGTGTACGCGCGCGCGCCGCCTGTGGAGGGTAGGAAGTGCCTTTGGTAAGTGAAAGGTGCAGGTGAAGTGATGAGAAAAGTATTTCTGGGTGAAACTGGAAATGCCTCTCCATGAAGCAATCCATGAAGCTGTGTCAAGCAGAGGTTTAAGTTGGATATTAGGGAAAGATTCTTCACCCAGAGGGTGGTTGGGTACTGGCACAGGCTCCCTAGGGAAGTGGTCACAGCACCAAGCCTGACGAGTTTAAGAAATGTTTGGACAATACTCTCGGGCACACGGTGTCCCATGGTGACTCTTGGTGACCCATGCAGGGCCAGGAGTTGGATTTCGATGATCCTTATTGGTTCCTTCCAGCTCTGGGTGTTTTGTGATCTTTGATACCAGGCTGCACAATGTGTTCAGTCCGTGAACAAGAGTTCAGGGAATTGAAAGCTTGACTAGAAATATAGGGAGAGACCTAATATCTGAAAACTGCTGGTACAGCACGTTGGCCTTGTCCTTACAACCTCACAGCCTATATAAGCACTGAGGCACTTTCCTTTTTAACAGATAAATGAGTAGTCTCTGCGAAACACGTGTAGTGCAAGAGGCACGTTCATTTGTCAGTAATGGCTTGTCATACTCAAAAGAGAACTCAAACTATTGAACCTGCTTTTCTGAGTCTTGCAAAGGAAGAGAAGTGGTTGCTGCAGAAACCTATTTTCCAGCAGTTTGTATTAAATTGGTTTTCCTGTGTAGGTGAGGCCAAGTAAGATCAGTTTGCACACTGTGGTTACTGTTACAGCTTGTTCTTTCTAAACATGCAAAACCAACTGTTCATTACAGCCCACAGCTTGTTAATAATCTCTTACAAAATAGTACAATAAAATGTCCACCACTGTAGTGGAATTAAATTCAAAAGGTATTTTTCCTTAAACTTCCCATAGTTTTAGTGTAAGTGGGAAGGTTAAATTCAGAAGGTCAAATGTACTAATCAACTGATCCAAAGGGTTAAAAAGCTCTGTCTCCTTTGAGAATTGGTTTAACTGTGTCACATGTGACACCGTATAATCTTATTGTGGATGTTCTCAAGAAAGGGTGTTCACCAAAGTGTGCCACACATGCCGGCTCTTTCTCTTCTTCACTTTGTGCATTAAGTGAAGGAATAATTTTCAGAGCGCAGAAACTTAGTAGCTCTCATTTCTCATGTCTGCCAATTTGAATGTTAGACTAAAAGCTTGTAGGTTATTTCCTTGATTTAACCGTAGAAGCCAGGAAACTAATAGCAAGAAAGTTAATATTTCTTTGCCAGTTTTCTTGCAAACAGAATCAGTGCTGTGGCCTATAAGAGCACAAGGGGGTATGTTTGGTATGCAAATAAACCCAGTGTTGATTCTGTATAGCTACCAGTTTAGATTTACATGGTTTTACGTACTGAGGCTGTGAAAGAATATCTGTAAACTAAGACAAGTGACTGGAGAACAGCACATTTTCCGTCATAACACACATCCATAGTCTCATACGGTCCAAAGTATCATATTTGTAGTAAAAAAACCCAACCAACCAACCAACCAAAACCACAAAACCCCCACATCAAAACAAAAAACTGCAGAGCATGCAAAGAGTAAATAGTTGTACTGACTCCAGAAGTTTTCCATGCCTTTTTTTGGCTCCTGTGGCACCTAGGATGCTAGAGGGTCGAAGAGCTCGGCAGTCCTTTGATGAACTACTGACTCAGCCAAAGGGGGAAAGAGAGCAGCGGTCATCCTTCCTGCAAGTTTGTGAGACAGTGCTATTCAAATAATTGAAATTATGAAAATTAGCCCTTAAAACAAAGATTCCTATGATGGGGCATGAAAAAATTAGCTGTTTTGAAGGGATAAGTAATACCCAAAGAAATGGATACCGTAAGAAATTGATGGAGGAGGCTTTGCCCGGAGAAGATAGAAGTAAGATGATGTAGGTGTGCTGTGGGTATTACTCCATGTTTGTAGTTTATTGTGGTAACACTTTCATGAAGGATTTTGATTTTATTTGATTTTTTTTTATGGCTGATAATGAAGACAAAACCACTTGGAATGGTATATCCATTAAATAAGAACTAGAGCCCCAATTGCTGGAATGAAAAAGAAAATTAGTAATACCATATGCGTTGAAAGATTTTTGTTACAAAAAAATCTCTTTGAATTTCTTTTAGCCTCATAGTTTCATGTGATCAGCAATAACAATAAAATCAGAAATAAAATTGCAGAGGTTTTAACAGGGACAACAAGAATATGAATACCTGCTGTTTTACTAACTTGATTAGCAGTAATTCCACAAGTGCTGTGTTTTCACAACAAATAAATACCACTAACACACATTGTAAAATGGCCAAATGTTTCCATTTTTATGGGTAAATGAGAGAACTGAGATTCTTGGAGACGTGACTGAATAACTCTTAGTGTCCGTCTCAGGATCAGGGAAGTAATGTCACTCGGTCAGATGGCTGTAACATGTCTTTTTGGTTTTGAGTGCAAAGGTTACCTTTCAGGTTCAAGAATTTCAGACCTCTAATGCTTTATCTCAGTACACCAGAAAGTAAAGCCATGCAACAGTATGTGCAACTCAGAAGGCTGATGAAGGAGACCAAGTGCATTGAAGTCTGTGAAAAATCACTGTAAACTCGACATAGGAAATCCCTGCAAACTTCCATTATGTGCTTACCACTCTCACTTCTGAGATTTTTCCCTTCACTTTAGTGACAAGAAACTGCATTAAATTCATTTTCTTGGGATGAAAGTTTGAGTTTGACTCTGTTTAGGAGGAACTTAGATTTCAAAGACGCTATGGTAGATATTTCATACTTGGGGATTACACCATAAATCAGTATAAATAACACAAGAACATAAGGAAGAGGTCGTTAATGGATTTCCATTGCAGGCTGAATCTTTATGATGTCAATAAAAATGGTAGCATATTATGACTAGACATTCTGTTTCACTTCATTATTATAATTAGGCTCTCTATTTTTATTGTGCCCTACTAATGATGTTCCTTCTATTCAATTTTAATATTCCTATTTATTTAGTCTAATAAATCTCAGCTTCTCTGCAGAACCACTGGTCTGGAAAATGTTCCTTGTCATTTCACAAAGACAAGAGGACATATTTTCAAAACATACTTGGAATGCAGAGCTGTATTGCATATAAAAATTTTCTGTCCAAATTTGAATCTTTTCCACATGAATTTCTGTATGATACTTGTTGGATGTACCCTGGTCACCGTCTGATATGGCATATTTCCAAGAAAAGTGATATTGTCAGATGCTACGTTGGTTTTGGCAGGGGTAGAGTTAATTTTCTTCACTGTGGCTGTTATGGGGCTGTGTTTTGGATTTGTGCTGAACACAGGGTTGATAACAGAGATGTTTTTGTTTTTGCTGGGCAGTGCTTACACAGAGCCAAGGCCTTTTCTGCTTTTCATACTGCCACGCTGGCAAGAAAGTTGGGGGTGCATGGGAGGTTGGGAGGAGACAGCTGGGGACAGGTGACCTGAACTGACTGAAGAGATGTTCCATACCATGGAATCATGCTCAGTATATAAAGTAGAAGGAAGAAAAAGGAAAGGGGGCACATTTGGAGTGATGACATTTGTCTTCCTGAGTCACTTACCCGTAATGGGGCCCTGCTCTCCTGGAGATAGCTGAACACCTGCCTGACCATGGGAAGCAGTGAATTTATTCCTTGTTTTGCTTTGCTTGTGTGCGGAGCTTTTGCCTTCCCTATTAAACTGTCTTTATCTCAACGCAAAAGTTTTCCAGCTTTTACCTTCCAGTTCTCCCCCCAGTCCTGCTGGTGGGGGAGTGAGTAAGCAGCTGTGTGGGGCTTGGCTGCTGGCAAGGGTGAAACCACAACAGATGGTTATCTAGAAAATTAGTAAAATTATCAGAGTGGTAGAAACAAAAGGGAAAGTGTAGTGAATTTGTGTATTCAATACAGTAACTGTACAATTTATTTATTTAAAAATAAACCAAAACTGAGTGGAGTTGAGTTACAATCATTACTTTTCATTACAGCTTCTGAGGCCAGGGAAGAAGGAACAGCAACCTGAGGTGAGATAGCAATCAAAGAACCTCATCCAGTGCTTTCAGAGACCTCTGAGAAGAACTGTTGACGTGCTTAAAAATTGAATATTACCTGCTGCAAAACTTTACTGTTGTTTGAAGCGTGGCTTTCCCATTCTCCCTATCTTCATTTAATAATGAAAATTAACTGTTGCACTTAAAGATACTGCTACCTTTTATCATAGGTAGTTTATCTAAAAACACCACAGTCCTTAAATGCATGTTTTTATGATTGCACTACTTGGCCAAGGATGAAAACAATAATCTGATTCTTTACATACTTGATACGCAAAAATGATGAATGAAAGGATTTTCTGAGGCCAAAATGAATATATATATTTACTCATTCTCTGTTTTTAAATTAAGCTCTTTTTTTAGCATCTGAACAGTAAACATTTCAGTAACTCTAGGAGGATTTTCCTCTAAAGATATTTGAATGTAAACCTTTTCTTTGTCAACAGATCTCAAGTAGATTTTTGTTGCTTAAGAATATGTTGTTTTAACAGCCCACATCCATAAAGATTTCAAAGGACTTAAAAAATGTTTATTTTAGGCAAATTTTTACTATGATTGAAACAAGATGAGGAAGACAATGAATATATTCTGATTTTTCTAAACAATCTTTGCTTTGTATACTTGCCTTTGTATGAATTCTGACCTTAGTGAATTGTATTATGGTGAAACAACCATGAAACTGAGAATGTAAGTCTTTGCAATCAGCTGGCAGCATTGCACATGAAAATGAAATATTTCTCTCTGATATAGAACATAGAATTTGAGATTTGAAAAATAGTAATTGTAAGTTGTAATCTGCTTTCTCTCTTCTGTGAATGGTGTAATAGTCTTTCTTAACATCCAACTACAAAAAATAAATATGCTGCTGAAACAACTTTTTCTGACAATGAAGTATTTGAAAATGCAACTGAATGATGCACAGCATTTGCTTCACTGATTTACAGTAATGCTTTTGGGTGCACTTTCAGATTTTACAAGATAAATGCAACAGTAAGAAGTTAACAACGTTGGTTATAAGCAAAGAGAAAACAGGTAGTAAAGCAAAAAGAAGAACCTCAAAGTTGTAATATGCCAGGTGGATGTAAAACGTGTCTATGCGTTTTCTGCCAAAATGTTTGTTCTGGCTTTTGTGTTAAGTCACTGTTAAATTATATAGTGTTTCAGTTACTGCGTATATCCCTAAGTATCCTTTTTTGTTGTTACCTCCAAAACAAGAAGGGTGTTTGTTAAAATTAAGATTTTTTTAAAGTATAAATTAAAGTTTAATTTAGCATGTCTTTAATTTAAATAGAATTTAAAGCACAGCATAGTCTAGGTTTTAGTGTTGTCATTATAATAGTTTTTAACAACTTGTAATAAAAATTATAGAGTTCGGAGCTTAATAGGAAATGTAAAAATATCTGAATTTTCAGGTCTTGAATAAGATTTGCCAGTCAACGAAGTAAATCTGTCATGTATATGTGCAAATGGAATAACTCATAGTATATGTAAATGTTGAATGAATTAGTTAGGTAAAGTGAATGGAGGTATTAATTTATCTTCATTGTTCACTTTGTGTGAATTCACTTCAGAAACTTAAGGACAGAGCTTTTGTCATATTCCTAATTCAGCATGGCCTAACCATGACCAACAAGGTGAGGGGCAGTTCACACCTCCTCTGGCCAAGCCCCATCAAGAGTGCGCTGCATGAGCTGCCTACTCAAGGTGACGCTGCAGCAAGAGCTGCCATTCAGAACTTGGAAACCCAACCAATATGGATAAAAGTATCAGCAGTAATGTGTGTCTTTAGTTTTTGCATTTCAGCAGTTCAGATTTCACTGAAAATTCTTTGGGATCTTCAGCACATGGAAGATTAGAATCAGTAATTTAGTATTATAATGAAGACTAATTAAGGCCTTTCCAAGATACCAGAAGGTGATCAAGGAAAGCTCTCTTCTTCCTTTGCAAGTCTAGTCTGCTGCTATTAGATTAAATGAAGCGCAACTCATGGTTAATGAAGTTTTTACTATTCTATTGAAATAAAATTTAGTCTCTTAAAATGCTTCCCTTTCATACACAATTTCTGTCCATACTTTATCTATTTTAGCATAATCATAACCCATATTTAGCCCAGAAAAATGTTTTTAGATTTTACTAATTTCAAAACATTGTCAAGTAGACACACCAGTGTATCTTCTGTATGTATTGACAGCCTAATTCGCATGCCTATAAGTTCATCTAAGACTCTTTCCACTAATGCATAGAAAACAAATGACCTTTCAGGGAAATACCTATCAGTGTTTTAATCAATGCTGCTGCTTTTCGGTTAGGATTATTAAAAATCTCAAACATTAATCTCCTATAAATGCAGAACGACAGTCATTTTAGATACTGGTTTCTTTGGAGTCCAGTTGATTTGTAGGAGTACATACCGGAGTGATTAATGAGATTTCAGTAACTTTTTGCATAGCTTCTTACCTAAAGCAAATAAAATAAAAGTCAATAAACAAACAAAAACCCCAAACCAGCAAGGGCAAATTAGTTGTGTGCCTTTCACTGCTTCCTGTAAAATCTTACACTGACTCCTAAAGGTTTCATTTTGCATGAAAGCTATTTAAGCAAGAGTTTTAGCAGATGAAGAAGACAGTTGAAGAACTTGTGAATGTTTCTTAGGTTCTGCTTTATAAAGTCTGTTAGGCACACTTGGCACAGGCTATGAGTCTGACCCTGATTTCCAAGCACGTGAATGGTCAAAATAAAATGCCATTTCTGTAATACTTTTTTTCCCTTTTTTTTGAAGTGTATATTAGGCACACATCTGAAGAAACAGTATTTTACTCCTTTATTTTAAGTTTAGGTAGCAGTCACAAGAGATTAGATGCTGTTAAGTGTAATGAAGCATGAAGATTACAAGATGAATGAACTGGAGGCTTTTCAGCTCGATAGCATCATTCAGCACATAATGATACAGATTTTGTATTTCAGACAAAAATGTCACCTTGGGGTTGAAATCATGCTAGATGAATTTGTGCGAGTTAGTATAACTAAGATAGTTCCCCACACCACAATTACCTTCCTATTTTAAATATAGAAAGGAAAATGAGTCCCCCTGAATTGAGAGATGAGTTATTTGTGTGTAGTATTTGTGATGGCAAATTCTTTCTAAAATAAACACAGTAATAAAAATTATTCTTCTTTCCTTTCATATTTTAAGGGGACAGGCTACTTCTAGTGACAGTATTAGACTAGACTGATCCTGGTCTCTTAGGGAATTAGTATTTGACTAGTACATACAGCACTATATATTAGAGTCATTAATTGTAGCATAGCAAAATATTTTTCTGCAACTTTTCTATTAAATTTCTTTAAAGCCTCATGCAGAATGTTACTTTCCATGTTGTATATTAGTTCCAGCAACTCTAATATGAATGATATGCTAGTGGGTTTTTGAAAACCTGAGGACATGAATCTGCCAGGGAGCCTAGATGGGACTTTTAAAAAACAAAATTAAAAATAATTTAACTACTATTAAAAAGTATAAAAAATGCTGACTATCAGCCTCTATTAATTTAGTTCTTCCACTTCATTACAGGAAGACACCTTTGATCCAAAATGTATTAGCAGTGTTCTGTTAAAGCCAGCAGAGGTCAGACTTGAATTGGAAACTCTTTTTGCTACTTCAGTTACTTGAACGTAAAATATCAGATAGTCCCTTGAGCTCAAAGCTGATCACAGTCTCATTGCTTCTCTACTACTCTAATTACACTTGTGCTGGATAAAAGCTTCTTTGCAGTTGCTGTTTGACAAAATGAGTGTTTTGCGAATGTTTAAATAAAGATGCTAATATGAGAGTGAATCAGTCAGTGGATTAGCAGCTGTGTTTTACTCACCAGGGATTATTCACACTGCTTAATCATTAACCCATGTATATCTTTAAATGATTTTTAAAAGCTAGTGAATATCAATATCCTCATTTTACAGATGAAGAAACTGAGGAATAGAGGTTTGCAGGTGACTTACAGAAACAAGAACAAAATCCAGATTTCTGATCCAGCACTTTGTGCACATAAACTATGACATTTCTAACTCCTGCGAACATTATAGAAATGATTGCTAGCAGCCCAAATCGCTGAGACTGAGGAGCTTACACCGATGAAATAGCAGACAACTGACAGTCAGGTTGTAGATCTTGAAAAGAATATTCTCCCCAAGATGTGTGGCGATCAGATCAGATGGCTAAAATCAATTTTAAGAGTAGTATTTTATTATTAAAACAAATACTTGCATTTTTAGATATCTTTGTCATTCACTAAGTTAAGTTGTAGTCTTTCAAAAACCTTTATGATAGCCTGTTACTGCCTCTTTATATTCAACATTTTTAAGGTCTATGTGAAGGTTTGTAAGAATAAATTACAAAGGAGTCCACTTTAAGTTTCTTGGTGATTTCTCCTTGTACCTTGTGTAATTTTACACTTCACAAAGAGCTGACACCTCCTAATAGTCATCATTTTCCATAATTCACAGAAGCCCGAATATGCAGTTATCTCAAAAGGGAAAAGATTAATTTGCTTTTCTGCAGAACATAAACTGTCCTCAAAATAATGACTAATTGAAGGCATTTGTTTACAGACTTGTTTTGTAGTCAACCACTGGATCCCTTAGCTCAAGAAGAAGGAAGAAAGATAATGATTCAATTAACTAAAACTGCTGCTTTGAAAAATGTGTTTTCCAGTGTAAAACTTATTTTATTCATCCCTAATTATCCACTGCTGAAAACTGTTAACTGTTATTAAGGAGAAATAAGTCTGAGGTTTTGGGAGCATGGCAAGTTTTTCCTGCTATAAGCTCCACAATGATCTTTTCCTATACTAATCCTAGATGGTGTATGTTTTCCTTTATTTCTACCCAACTTTCCTTTTTATTTGTAATATATGTGTGAAATGTTCAAAAATTACTGCTTTAAGAGCAGTTAAGATATTACTACCTCAAAAACACATCATTGTTCCATACAGTTGTATTTGTTTTGCTGAGTAGGTTCCAGCTCAGTTACAGAAGAAGTTACAGATAATGCAAAAAAACCGTCTTAGAGCAGCAGCTGTTGCTATAGGCAGATTGGCCAAAAGCCTGTCCCTATATTTCTTTACATGGAAACAAAGGGATAGATCTATGTATTGTCTGAATAGAGAACATGATGTTGTTGTGTGCCTGTGACAAAAAATACAATAGTATTTTTTTTGAAAAGTATACTTACTTATGGATTAAAAAAAATTGGAATATACCATGTATTAAGCTTGTAGTTGATCAAGATCAGTTATTCTGGTTATGTTCCTTCAGAGATGAGAGTTTTAGTGACAGGGTAAAATACTTCTACATCTGTGGAATTTAAAGCCTGCTACTGTCAAGTTGCCAGGACCCTTAAATGTGTGCTGAAGTGTCCTTCTCTCTTTTAGTAAATTAAAAATGTTTATACTTACTGTCACAAGTAGTAGAAGAATACCAACAATTGCTTCCGTGTTTAGAATTCTGTGGAGTCTGCTACCTGTGAGCAGACTCTGCTTAAATTCTCTGAAACTACTGATCGCTAACCTCATTCTTGACATACTTCACCCTCCAACAGCCTGCTGAAACTTCTGTTACACCTTCTGGGAATCTATCTATAGTAATTTCTTTCTCTCCCCACATGGCTTCAAGCCAGAAATAAATCCATTTGCACAAATGCTTCTTAACCTTGCAGGTTTTTTTAATTTTTTTTTTCTTTCTGCTTCTCTGGTTGTTGGATGCTTTTCTAGTAAATTCAGTACTTGCCGTGTTTGCTGTGTAATGAACTGGTGGTTACAATGCATTTTCTAAACTACTGTTTGTTTCAGTTTTAGTGCACTGAATAAAATTATTTCTCTGTTGTCATTTTATGGGCATCTTACTGTAATGTAGTCCAGGCTGGATGGAGCTCTGAGCAACCCGGTCTAGTGAAGAGTGTCCCTCCTCATGGAATGAGATCATCTTTAAGGTCTCTTCCAACCCAGGCCATTCTATGACTCTGTGTACATGTGTATAGACACGCATTATATGTATATAAACGTATACAGTATAGAACTGTAGGTTTATCAGAATTAATTGAAAATGAGCCAGCTTGGATATCAATACCAACACCATTACTGAGGATACATGTATAGACACATAGAGCAAACCTCAGCTGCAGCTGGGAATTTCTCAGTGTTTCAGCTACCTAGAACCACCTAGGCAAATATTTGGCATTAGAAAATTAGGAGCATTTTGATTGGAGTGATTAGGTTGATGCATAGCAGTTCTATTGCAGAAGCAGGAACAGATAGTCTGGAATTTTCTGACTCCAGTTTTCACAACAAATTAAATATGTTTTTCATGCACTTCCTGTGATCTCAATTGTGATGAATGCTACACCAGAGTCCAGTCCAAGCTCTGAAAAAGCCAGAAAGTGTGTGGTGACAAAAATAGTCACATACCATGGTTCCATGACTGCATGCTTGATTGAGAACAAGGATTCTGCATTAAGATTGTACATAGGGCAGTGTGTGGCATCTCTTACTATGTTCTTCTGTGGGATCTTAACCACATTTAACTTCCATTTTCAATCAGATCTCAACACTAGGAAATAAAAATGCAAATTGTACCTCGTGCAAAATTTGGTTTATCTCCGACTTTGATAAATCCAGCCTTGCAGCTTCCAGTCCCTGGGGTGTCCAAATACCTGTCCCTAGAAGACATTGCTCTGCATTAGAACTCATAAACTGTTAGATCAGTGAAGTTCTGTTTTCTTTCAGGTATTGTATCATGAATCTGAACTTTTTCTCTGCCCTTAAGGCAGCTGGAGTTTTCAGGCTATCCCATTTGACTGCATCTGTGTCACAAGGCACTGACATCAGAAACACATCTTAGCCCCGGTATCTCAAATGAATCCAGTTACAGAAAGAAGAACAAGATTACTAAAAGAATGGGTTTTAAGATTTTACTTCCAAAGAATACTGAGAAGCAAAAAAGAGGCTAAAAGCCAGGAACATGCAAACTCCTGCTGGTCAGTTTTCAGTTGATCAATGTTGGCTTTTAATAACTAGCTGCAAAGACTAATTATTGACTTTACTGTGCTACCCTACCTTTCAAAGTGTCTAATGCTGTCATGTAGTTGCACACTATAACACTGACTGCTAAATGCAGACTCACTTTTCTTGACTTCATACCCAGCACCGGTCAGAACTAGCAAACCTCAGCTTCAAGATTTAGGGTAAAGTACTGCCTCCTGTCAGCAGTAACCTCTCACATTGCTGGGCACAAGTGAAAAGATACTAAACCAGGAATGGTTTGGTTTTCTCCCACTAACCATAAATTTAGAGCATTAACTTCATGACATCAGTGAGAGCGCTGTGTTCAAATCCTCCAGCACATGTCATGGGAAATACAGATTATCAGTTTTCCATTTACTATTTTGGCAGGCATAATTTTGTTGTTTTTCAAGCTGTTTATATTGGCCACCTCAGTGTTTTAGTTAATTTCACACATATTTCAGCATTTCAAGAAATATGTGCTTCAGCAGACATGGGGAATGTTGTGTGTGTCCCCCCCAAATTTTAGAGTCTCTTTCACTATTAACATTTACAAGCTTAATTTACATTTCAACAGAGCATTCACCTGTGTCCTGTCAAAGACTCCATGGGGCAGTAAATTATATATTTTAGAGAGATTATGAATTCTAATAAAAGGGCATCAGGAATGTCCAAAGGAGGTGTAGAGATGTGTAACAGCACAGTGAAGGCTGGTATGACTGAAGTGTAGATAGAAGTTCGTGAAAGCATCAGCAGGAACAGCAGAACAGAGGGTTAAAAGGATGGACTCTTGTTAACACAGAAAACCATTCCCAGCAGAAAAATTAAGGAATTGTTCTGTTTATGTCAAGGCCAAAGACCTGCACTTCAACAACAGATGACCTGTCAGCAAAAGACCTATCCTGACGCCAGGGGGATGGTAACAAGGCTGCAGCATCAGATACGCCTTGCCTTTCCTGTTAGCCTGTCCCAAAAACACGTGTTGAAAACAAGATAAAACAGGCAATGGGCAGCAACCTGGCCTATCATTTATGGAGAACAAAGTAAACAGGATTCTGAGGTGAAAGATGACCATATACCAACTTTCATTCCCTCATAAGGGGAATGAAAGATCTGTCCAGAAACCAGTTCGTTGTCCCTAGTCAAGGGGTTGTAGTGAGGGCTTGGCAGTGGGCATCCCTGTTCCTTTGTGTCAAACTCGAGTGACTCTGGCCAGGCCACTGAGACTCTATGTTTTGGTGCTCATGAACATACAAGTGTCAGAGAATTAAATTTATAGGAGAATGAGTGTGAGTGCATAAGACCAACATGCTTAAAGATTTTGTAAATAAATACCTTCTCCCCTTTCATAAGATCTCACACTGAACTTTCTCACACTGATTCAGCAATTTCCCGTTGTTACATGAATGAACAGTCATTCGTGTTGAGAATCATATCCTAACTCCCCCACAGACAGAGGGACAGAGATGCTCATGACTTGCTCTAACTCTTGCGTTCCTTCCTAGATGTGGCATAATAACAAACTGTATGTCACTTTATCTACAAGTATATAGATGATAATTTCCTCCTATTGCTTTTCCAAATGCTTGGTTTGCTCAGCCCAGAGGGACTTTGTACAACATTTCATGACATGGAATTTATGCTTCTCTGAGGAAATCCATGCACTACTGGAGTAAAATAATCATAGAATGATAGTTGAGTAATTGTTGATAAAGAATAAATTACTCCATGGAAAGCCACATGAAAAATAAAGGGTTAGAGAGAAAGTGAAGGAGGAAGGGTGAAAAGGTCTACTTTAAGTTCTAAAACAATAAAAATGAGGAAATAACAAGTTGGCCTGATACAAGGATATGGATATGGATATGGACTTGGCCAACATCACAGTATGACTCAAAGTTGGTAGAATGCTTGAATAATGCCTTCCAACACCCCACACTACTCTGGATCCATAGTGCCAGAGAAGGAGACTCTTAGAAGGGCTCAGTTACAATGAGGCTGAGCTGTAGCATGCAGAAATGGAGATTTGGTTCATGATAGGGTTCCCATATCAACCTCTGTAAATTACAGGATTAGGGCAACAGACTGCACTGCCTTTTGCACTTTCCCGTAAAAATGTGGTGGAGAAATAAATATCCTTGTCCTTGCCTTTTACCATAGTAGCATTAAAAGAACCTACAATATGTGCATCCATTTAGCTGGTCAGCCAGATGTCAGTGAGGCTCAAAGTCCTCATGTTAACTACCACAAAAGCCTTCTCTCAGAGGACTAGTCAGATGTTACCTGGGAGCTGGCTATATTTGATCTTAGATCAGAAAAAGAGCTTAGATGTTTGTTCTGGCACAATTATATGTTTATTCTTTCAAATTTAGTTTGGACTTTTGCAGAAATTAGGAAGTCTACTGGTAACTCACCAGCCAATTGGCTTCTGCTGTCCCCAGAGGTGACCATGAGCTGGTCTTTCTAAATGTAATGAGAATGTTACACTTGCTAATTTAGCAAGGACTGGTGTTGTGCTCACCTCTGTGTAACAGACTCCCTCAACAACTGAAGGAAAGGAGGGCAGGTGCTATAAGGGATTGTTGCTACTTACAGATCAATGCCTGGCAATGCTAATCAGAGACCTGGTTAAGTGTGAAAGCTTTGAGAAACTAAGTTTGTGTTCAAACACTCAAATGTTTTATTATTGGCATTCACAAACTGGATTTTCTACCTAAGTAAGATGCCTCCAATCCAGCACAATCTCATAATTGTCTTCTCTGAAGTGCCTCTAGATTTACAGAGCTCAAGAGCAGAAATTTGCTCAGTATTTTCTTCTCTTACAATTGACGTTAGAAGACTTGCCAAGCTTCTGCATATCTGTTTGGCACTCAAATCAAAAAAAGGAGCATTGGGGAGGGGGAAAGCCTGGTTTGCTAAGAACTGTATCTGCCAGACAATAAACTACGTATTTGGGGGGAAAAAAGTGATGTGCAAAAGTGTGTTTAAACCCAATTTGCTCCCTCACACAGCTGGACCATTTGTCACCCGGGTAGGTGACCTGAGGGGTACTCTCAGTCATGTTGGCTACCAAGAGCTGATAGAGGCAGGAGAAGACCTGACTGCAAATGTCCAGCCTAACCTGTAGTGACAACAAATGCTGGTCCACTGGAGGTGCTCAGGACTTCTATGCTATATCTAATACCTCACAGCTTATCACATCAACTTTTGGCTTGCCAGGCAAGACAGGTCATAGCAGCCCAGCACAATGAATAATCCACTTTCTAGATCATCTTCAAGGATAAAGAGTCTTAATTCAGGCATTACTAAATTACAGAACTCTAAAATTACACTACTGAAGTTTAATTAAGCTGTGAAAGCAACCAAGCACCAGGTACTGACAGTAGTACAGCCATGCCACAGTCTCAGTTCTGCACAAGGCTGCAGCATCCATAGTAGGCAACGAGGCAATAACCAGAAGCTCAAAGGAAAAGGCTACAAATTTAGCAAGCTCTCGTCCAGCTGTGTAACAGCTCTGTTTTGAAGACATCACAGAAGAATTTTCCTTAAAAAATAAAGAAGCTTATTGGACAAACCCTATCATCGTCCCAAAAAGACCCATGAACCTGCCTGCATAAGACCATGGCCCAGGCATCACTTGCAAATGAAGTTCAGACTATCAAATCTCCAAGAATATGAGGCACGTGCTGAGGAAAAGGCTTGGAATGTTACTCCAGCTACAGAGGGAAGGGGTGGTCTATCATATGCTGGTAGGTACATGTTAATTACAGTTTTGGTTAACTACTTGCAAGAGATAAATCTGAGGGAAGCTACCAAAAGACAGGCACCTCTAAGAATTGTCTTGCGAAGTTTACGTGACAGTGACACAAAAACAGTCACAGGCAGATCTTCGACCATGAGGGGCAGAATCCAGCTACATGGACAGTCATCTTTGGGAGCTGTCATAGGTGGGGACACCTTCCACCATTCCAGGTTACTCAAAGTCCCATCCAACCTGACAGATTATTTCCTTTTATATATTTTATATGGAACACATAGATGAACAATGGAGAAGACACGTACCAGTGTTTCTGACACACTTTCCTCGTAACAGTCCCATTTAGGAACACAGCATTTTAAAATGCTAGCATTTCTGTGCAAAAGAAGTTCATGCCCCCTTCCAGCCCTGTATAGATGGTGAGTGTTTCTTAGATTGCAAGGTCTGCAATTATGGAATAAAGGCCTTGACACTGTAACTATAAAATACCTTTAATTAGTGGGATCAGCTCCCTTCCTCTAGAGGAGGGTATGCACTACTGTCAGAAACTCTGGTTTGTTCTCACTCACCTCAGGGCAGCTGAGTTTCAGTTAACACAGAGGAAAAGTGAAAAGTCTGATACACACTGATAGAAGACCATATTATCTGAAAATGTGTCGTCCATCATGCAACAAGAACTAAAAAATTCGGTTTTTCTCAAGCTGTGACACTGCGATGACTGTGTAGGCTCTCAGTGGTATTAGTGCCTTTGTGTCTTTTTTACCTGTTCACCTGGGATATTCCATTTCCCTCCTTCACAGGAATCATAAATGGTAGTTGTTCCTTATGCAGAAGGATTCCTTATGTCTTTGTTCTCTGTCACTGCAACTTCCTAGTAAGCCTACAAACAGCTCGAT